GTCCGAGTGCGTCGTCGCGCTGGCGTAGCTGGCGCCGTCAGACCGGTGGGAAGCTGCCGACGCTGCTCCTGGCGTTGACGCGATCGACGCCGCTGACGCGGCCGGCGCGTCGGGGCTCCCTGGCGCTGCTGGCGTGGCTGGCGCTGCTAGCGAGATGGGCGCGGCCGCTCTCGGCGGCGCGCTTGCTGCGGCGAGTGCATCCCGTGCTGCTGGCGCCGCCTCGGCCTTCGCAGCTGGCTCCCTTTGGACGGTCGGCGCGGGCGGGGCCGCTCGTCCTCTCGCCCCTGCGTCGCCTCTACGGGCGCCCTGGGCGCTGCCGACGCTTGCGGGCACGTCGGCGCGGCCCGAGAGCGCCGCCCTGCGGCTGGCGCCGATGGCGCCGCCAGCGCGGTCGAAGCTGCCGACCATGCCCCTGGCGTTGGCGCGTTCGACGCAGCTGGCGCGCCCGGCGCGGCCGCTGCGGTTGCCGCTCGCGCCTGCGCCGCGGCCGCTGCCGCGGCGGCTCGGGCCGCCCTCTGGGCCGCGGTTGGATGGCTGGCGCAGACCGCCGAACTCGCGGCGGACGCTGCGGCGGGCAGTCGGCTATGGGGCGCAGCCATCTGCTCCGGCACCCCGACCAGCGCGGGCGGAGACGGAGCCCGCCATAATTTGCTCCAGCATCCCGATCAGCGCTCGCGAAAAGGACAGGCAGGGGCAGCGGCGGCTGGCCCCGGCGCTGTTCAGCGAAATGCCGGGAGCGAAGCTGGAGCCCACCTTCGTCCACTACAGCACCGCGATCAGCACGCGCGGGGCGAACGTGCGGTGCGAGATTTTGGGCGCGAAGCTGGATCCCACCATCATCTCCTACAGCGCCCCGATCAGCGCGCGTAAGAAGGGCTGGCAGGCGCAGCCAGTCCTGTCAGTGGCGGCGCGGTCGAGGAGGGCATGGAGGTGCAGGGAGACGTCGACGACGCGGAGGAGGTTGCGGAAGTGGGCATCGGAAGGGTCGACGAGGCGGAGGAGGGCGACGAGCAGACGGCCGTTGGAGGAGGCGGGCGTCGAGATGAAGGAGGCCGTCGACGTGTTCGCGGGGGCCCAGTCCGCTAGCTTCGGTGCCGGGTCACGCGGCCACGGCCTCTCAGTGCTGACGTCCAGCGGTGCGCGGAGCGGGGGGCCCGATCTTCTCTTGGGGCACCGCTGGCATCGCGGCGGACGGCAGCCCGGAGGTGCAGGAGCCGGGCGACGACGTCTGGAAGCTCGTTCCCCAACCTGCGCGCACCAATCCTGTCGACGTTGCACCGCCAATCTCGTTGACGCAACGCCGCCAATCCTTTCGATCCCGCGCGGGCCGCGCCCGCCCGCCCCGGAGCGGCGCGGAAGGCGGGGGGGCCGCGTGGGGGCCAGGGCGGCAGACCCCCGACCCGCCGATGCTTCCTTTCCCATCGCGTGGAGCCCCTGCCCGAGCACACGCGGACAAGGCCGAGCCGGATGATATTCAGAAATCTGGGAGGGGCGAGGAGGAAGGATACCCTCGATCCACGTTGCTCCGACCTATCTGCCTGGCGACAGCATCCCAGACCCAGAGGGGCAGGGCGGGCTTGCCCTGTGCCGCCTCGGCGCCAACGGCAGCTTTGCGCCGCCGCGGCCTCCGTCGCCCGGCCGCGACAGCCCGGGCCTGGTCGAGCGCCGCGGCAGCGGGCGGACGCGTGGGCGCGGAGAAAAGTCCTCGAGCAAATTAGTTCAACGTCGCTGGAGTGCGGGCAGCGAGGACGACGCCGTCGATCCCCCGACAAGCGCGGGCGCTCTGGCAAGCTCGCTGGCGCCTTCCCGGTCCGCGCCGGCCAGTGAGACCATGGGGCCGCCAGCTCAGGTCGAGGAAGCAGACGGCCTGCCCCCGGCGGGCCAGGGCGCGCACGGCCGCCCCTCGCGTTCGGACAGCACAGGTGCGGGCGACGCCGGCGAGAGTTCAGAGACCCAGAGCTCTCGCGCCGACTGTCTTGTCGACTGCGTCGCGGACGGCAGGCTGGCGGCCGGCGCTGCGAGCGACGGCGGCAGCAGCGCGTGACAGACGCGCGCTGTCCACCAGTCATCCACCGACAATGGCGCGCGTCGCGCGCCCGCTGCGGAGCCGCCGTCTTGGGATAGACCTCGACCCGCCCGGCTAGCGCAGGGCAGCCTCTGGATGATGGTGAAGGGCGCGTTTTTTTTTCCCCGTGGACTCGCGAACGCTGGGGTCACTTCATTTGGGATTATAGAAAAAGTAAAGATCGAGCTCGCCCAGGAATGGCCCCGCGCCAGGTCGCGGTCGACTTCCCGGGATCCCCGCCCATGCCAGGGCAGCAACCGGCTGGCGCTCGCGCCCCACCGGCCTCGCCAGGCCAGGCCTGGCAGACCAGCACATGGCAGTCGAAGGTTCTGACTCGGCCAGACACCTGGCCGGCCTGGAAGGCGCCTCCACGGAGCAGTTCGCGGCCCGCGTCAAGCGATTGGGGGCCAGAGCAAAGTTCGCTTGGAAAGCTCATTGCGCAGTTTGGTAGCGACGCGCTGGACCCACGGTTGCGCGGCGCGAGCTTCCCGCGCGGCTTCTCCGCTGCGCGAGAGTAGGGCACCGCGGTGCAGTCTCCTGAGCCGGGCGGTCATGCACCGGACAAGCGCCAGTCTGTCGCTGTTTGCTCAGTTACAAGCCGATCGGTCGCTCATCTCGCGCACCAGCGAGCTGCCCGGGCCACTCTGCTGCTCATCGTTTAGTCGCTCTGAGCACGCGCCAGTCCGTCGCTTCTTGGTCGTGCTTTGTTTCACCTGTGTTGCAGTCGCCTGGGTTCGGCTCTCCGGGCCTCTGGCCCTCGGCGTTCTGCGTCTTCCCCCCCCGCCCCTCTTTAGGCCCGCGGGGCGCGGCCCCTTCGCTCGATGGCTGGAGCCCCATTCAGGGTTGCGAATGGTGCGGGCGAAAGCGCGCGCTTCCGCCCCGCACCGCGGCAGCTTTTCTTAAGGGAGCTTGCCGCGCGGTGTTTTTGACAACAACCGCGGCGAGGCCTCCGCGCCACAGTGATCCGACGTGGAGGACAGGGCCATTTTGGGCGGGACCTTGCCTCTTGTTAGTTGAAACGCACCCTGGCCACGCGTGCCTTTTGGCAGCCCCCCCGACGGTCGAGGCGGCAGCCCAGCTGGTTTCGGCGGCGCAGCCGGCACCCCCCCCTAGGAGCGCCCCCGACTGCATGGGCGCCTGCGTTGAGCCAGCCCTGACGGCCCGATTGCTTGTGTTTGCTTTGTCGCACGCCGATCAGTCGCTCGCGCCAAGCGCCGATGAGTCGCCTGCTGCGCCCCGCTACTCACCGATAAGTCGCTCTGGGCACGCGCCGCCCTGTCGCCCTTGGTTCTGCCGTGTTTGATTCGCCCTTGCTTCCGCCCCTCCCGTCCATAGGCCCCGTGGCGTTCGGTTTTCGGTCGTCTGCCGGCGGTTGCGTGGTTCTCCTGCCGCCCTCCGGCGGCGCCCCCGCCCGCGGTGGCTCGTCGTTTTTGCCTCCTCCTCGTGCGTCGCGGCGTTCGCTCGGTCGCCGTCGTCGTCGGTCGTGGGCTCGGTCCCCCACCGTCGTCTTTCCAGGCCCCCCTCCTGCCTCTGCCCTGCCTGCCCTTTCCCCCCCTCCTCCTTTCCTTCCGGGTCCTCTCCGCCACGGGGACTGTTTTTTTTGTAGCGTTTGGTGCTTTTCCTCCTGGCGCCGCGTCTTCGGATTCAGGACCCCCCGAGCTGCTCGCGCTTGGTCGGGTGTTTTTTGGCTCCGCGTGGGTGGGCCTCCTGGGTTGGTCTCCTCGCGTTTGCCGCCGCCGTGGTCTGTCATGCGCGTGGTGTTTTTCTTCAGGGTCGGCGTGGGCCATTCATCTGGGCCAGCCGCGTGCCTCGCGGCGCCTTCCGCGTCTTGTTTGAGACGCCCTTGGCCGATTCGGTGGCGACCCAGACATCGGCGCGCGCAGTGCGCCTCGCGTCTTTCCCTGTGCTGCTCGAGCGGCGCCGCGCCCATCCAATCTTGTCGGCGCCTCTATTGCAGCCTTCTTTTCGGCCAGCCTGGGCGCGTCACCGATGCTGGCCCCCTCTGGTGGCGTGGCGACTCGCCGAGGATCTCTCGGCATGGTTTCATCTGGTTGGTTTCGGCCTTGTCAGTGCGGCCTGTCTGCGCTTGCTGTTCCGTCACCGCCGATCTGGAACCTTACTCATCTATGGTAACGCATCGAGCGTCGCCGGCTCCTAATGTGTTGTACACGCCGCCCATCGGCTTCGCCTGGTCGTAGCTTCTCCTGTGCGACTTGTTCTTCGGCTGGTCCGGCTGATTCATATGTGTCTGCCTTTTGTCTTCATTCTTCCACGTCGCCCCGATGATTCGGTGGACCAATGAGCACTGGACTGCTTCTGGCGCTTTAACCTTTTCGAGTCGAGCTTGGGTATCTCATGGTATTCGGTCGGGCGCTGCCTTGCCTACACCACCCACGCGTTGCCCGAGGCATTTGTTTTCTTGCGCCCCTCTGGGGTGCGCGCGGCATTTTCCACGCGGCACCTTTCGTGGTCGGCGTCTTTTTCCGTCTGTCCGCTGGACCGGCGGCAGCCTTGCCCTTTTGCTGCTTGCGCCCTGACTTGGGGCGCGGGCCGGCATGGCCGCGGCCTCCTGCCTTTTTGCATCCTGGTGTCGCACATGGGCGTGCGCGTCGGCAGCTGGGGCTGCAGTTCGCTGATTTTGCTGGGCTTCCAGCTGAATGTCAGCTCGGTCTGCCGCGGTGGTTCGTCGGTTTCCTCCCTTTTGTGTCGCGGGGGTCGCTCGGTCCCTGCCGCCCTCGGTCGGTCGCGAGTCGGCCGCGTCGCGGGGTTTTCCGCCGTCGTCTCTCAGGGCTCCTCCCTTGCTTTTGATTTTGCTCCCGCCCGCCTCTCCCTTCTCCTTCCGGGTCGTCCCCACCGCGGGGGTCAGTCCTCTTTTTTTGAGCGTTAGCGTATCCCGCCGGCGGGTTCGCTTTTTCGTTTTCTCTCCTACTCTGTC